CCAATGTTTCAAAAACGAAGAAAATTTATTACTATTGAGAGACGCAGACGAAGTTGCGCGGGTCAGCTAGTTATAGATAAATATCACGACCGGATGGCGTAGTGCTTTGTGTAACGGACTGCTATTCCAAAGGTCGCGGGTTCGATTCTCGCTCAAGTCAAACATTTGTGTGCATGAACATTTGATGTGTGATTTGGTCTGGGTGTTTCTATGTATAATATGTATGTATTTACAAAAAAAAAAAGTATATTTGTATTTATATCAGTTGTCTAGTACCTATAGTACAAGCTCTGCTTAGTTTGGGACTAGATGGCGTTGTGTGTACGTAATAAAAAAAAAAAAAAAAATTACACCCAGACACAGAACATTCCATTTGTCTTTTTTACGTAATACCTATAAATCGCCTGTCGTCCTGACTAGTCCAGGCTAAGGTGCATAGCCGGTGGTCACTGCTCTAGTGATGCACGCTGTTCATCATCAAACTTTGGTATTTTTTACATTTTCTCGTTGCCATGTTACTACACTTCTATATGTGTTAGAGCATGTGATATATGGGTAGACTGGACTGAAGCAATGAAACAGGCCCCAAAAAAAACTAAGCCAAGAATTGTTAAGTAATTCTTTCCTTGTGTGTGAGGTTACCGAATGCCTCCTCATTCTGGGAGAGCACTCAAAGAACAAAGTGTCTCTCGAGATATAGGTAAAATGTCTACTCCTCCTCCTATATAGGTAAACCTTTATATCAGTATTCTGGAGTGGTAATTAGGCCATTCGAAGGTATGTAACACCACCAGCATTAATTTTCGTGCGTATACAAAACTATCATCATCATCAACAACAGCCCTTAATAACCTACTCCTGGACGTAAGCCTCTCCTTAAAATGAAGGTTTTGCATTACTGTACCCCGCTTGTCCTTCCCCTTGCAGGAGAGTACTGCAAAGAGAAAGAAAACTTAACACAAACGCTATACAAAATTATTTAAAAAATAATTTTATCATCAAAAATCTTCATAAATATTCATGTTAACGTAGAACAGAAAAAAAACAGTGGCATTCCGGGAGTGCCGACAAAAGTAAAAACTAGAAAATTTTAATTGTTTTGATAATACTTAACATGAAAATTTTTAGTTTTCTTTTGAATGGGAAATGTTCCGACATCAATATACTCGCATATCTATGTTGTACGTATATACACAATATTTGTTTATTGCTTGCACCTACCTTGCACCTACCGACTATTACTTTTTCCAAAATTTAGACAACTTTTTAGTGGGTATAAAATTCAATTCCCGAGAGGCAGTACAAAATGCCTTTGAAGACTTTGTTGCCTCCCGTCCAGCTGATTTTTACAAGAAGGGCATCAAAAACTGCCAAAACGTTGGCAAAGATGCGTCGATTGCATGGGTGATTACTTCGAATAACAGAAATAAAAAAGTTTGAAAAAATAAGTACTTTCACTTATTGCATACAAAACGGCAATTTCATAAGTAAAGACCTATTATCGTATATAGTTTGGGTTGAAATACATTGATAGCATTATCAACGTATCAACGGGACCCAGAAGTATGTAGATACTTATACACAGAGGTGTCGGTTTTTTCCCATCTCAAAAATACGATGTTTTGTTTGTTGTTCAAAAATGCCCAACGCACCTAAAGAAGTTTTCACTTCAAAAATTACTGTATTAGCTTTTCATTTCCATAGAAGCCCCCCCTCGGACCTAAAGCGATACATCACGATGTCCTCAAAACTATAGGTTCTATGTCTACATAAATTATCATCAATCACTTGTCATCCTGAGTAAAATAGTGAAACTTCAAGTTTAAGTTTCAGATGTTATCTTCAAAGTTAGGGTAAGTTGCCGGCCAAACTTACTTAGATCATACTTGTGATAATTTATTACAAAATTCCAAAGCTATCCAACTTTAATCGGTAATACAAACTTCCTGTAATTAAATCCGAAGCTTTGTTATACCCATTTTGTAATTCGTTAATCCTATTAAAACCCCTTTTCAAAAAAAGCAATTACTGTTTTTGTAAAAAAATTTGAAAACAGACAAATCGGTGTTATTTATTAGTTTTTTTCTTTATGACAGAAGGGGCAAACAAGCAGATGGTCACCTGATGGAAAGCAACTACCGACCTTTGAGGAACGAGTACGCTCTTTTCTTGAAGGTTTGAAGGTAGTATCGGTCCGGAAATACCGCAGACGATAACTTGTTCTACAGGTTGGTAGTGCGAGGCAAAAACGATGGCGGCAAGTTGCGGAGGGTGTTAGTTCGAAAAAATCCTCGGAGCGCTCTCCATGATACGAGTATATACAGAATGCGGAGCGAAGCTACATCTATACGTAACGCCAAGGTAACAGAATACTTATACTTAAATATATATATATTGTATATAGGTATTATTTATATAATAAAAACTATAGGTATAATGATCAGCAAGCTGAAGTGGCAGTGGGCTGGCCATATTAGCCGCAGAACTGACAACCGTTGGGCAAAATGAGTTCTTGAGTGGAGACCGCGTCTCGGCAAACGTAGTGTAGGACGCCCACAGGCCAGGTGGAGTGACGATTTGGCCAAGATGGCTGGCAGGAGCTGGAAGCGAAAAGCCCAAAATCGATCTAAGTGGCGTGCAATGGGAGAGGTCTATGTCCAGCATACTGGACTGCGATAGTATAATGTAGTTATTATAGATTTACAATTTCACAGGGTTTGTAGTCTAGTGGGAGAGCTATATTTAGGCCAACTCGATCGGGAGAGGACCTATAGAAGACAAATAGCGTATTTAGTTTAAACCAAAGTTTATGTCAAAAAAAAAAGAAAATTGAAGGTTTTTCTATAGTGTAGATGCTCATTTTTCTTTTAATGATGCAGAAGTTTTATGAATTGTAATGATGTTGTAGACTACTCTAAGTCGGGTCTTGTTTAAGCCAGGATTAGCTCCAGTCATGCCTCCACACAAAGAGGATTACCATCTCGGCTGGCGGCGGGTTTATTATATGTTTATTCCTCCAAACTCCGTGAAATCAGTAAAGTACTTTCATACCTCACGCAATAAAAACTTTGCTACACAATTAAGAAGAAACCAACCATTTCTTCAGAAGAATTGCCATCTGACATTTAACTCCGAAACAATTTCATTTATTTAATGTGTAATTAAGCCTTGCTTTTATAGTTCATTTGATGTGGTTCTCACGTTTCTCTGTCGTCTAAAATGATAGTTAATATAAAAGACTAGCATTTGCCTGCGAAATCGCTCGTGTAATACTTATTTTCTTATTAAATGTGTAGAATTATATTGATTTTGATCGCTCAACACAATTCGATGCGAGAAATTTACATACAAACTCACGTCTTTTAACCCTGAGGCTTATTTTGACGACTCTAATTTTAGTCAAACTTATGTAATAAGACATAACCTGCTGTTGTCAAAATGTATAATTATGTATAACTCAATTATTCTACACATTGCCTAGGTAATACGTAGAATACCTGACGAGTGTCTAGGTATTGTAAGAATACTGGAGCATACAGATTGTCGGTAACTTACCTATAGTGGGAGAGCCATGCTTCGGCACGAATGGGCCGGCTCTACCGGAGTGATACCACGGCCTCACAGAAAACCGGTGTTAAGCAATTCTTCCGTTGCCGGAGCCCAAATCCCCCCTCCTGCTGACTCCTCCAAGGGCAGCAACGCACTTGTGACTTTTCAGATGCAGGTGTCCATGAGTGGCGGTAGTTGCTTACCATCAGGTGACCTGTCTGCTCGTTTGCCCCCTTATACCATAAAAAAAAACATATTATATGTATAGATTATTTTACGACTATTTATAAGTATAATATATAAAATATATTTATTGGCTTTTTAAAACTGTATTATTTACTATTTGTTATATATACAACTAGCAGACCCTGCAAACGTCGTTTTGCCAAAAAAAAATAAACTTTTCATCGCCCCCGCACAACCCTCTGGGGGTCGAATTTCGTAAAATCCGTTCTTAGCTGACCTCTACTCGGTGAAAATAATATTCCTACCAAATTTCAAGTCTCTAGCTCTAATGGTTCCAGAGATATCGTGATGAGTGACTATATACGTGGAAATCTCTTATATATATATATAGATAAAGATTTAATGAAACGAAAAGACTTACCAAGTAAATGTATTCTTTATAGATAAAACAAATAAAAAAATTGAAATACCGCCGACACCATCATCAACCCACCAATACAGAATTAAGATTAGGGGGAAGTCCCCTAGTGCCGGACACATAAGGTTTTCAGGAAATAAAATTAAAACTACATCGAGAAATTTGTATTTATTTATGAATTACTTAAATTAACAAAACATAAAATCAAAATCAAATAACAAAAATACAAATTCTGCGTAAATATAGTTTAGGAATATTAAATAAGTTTTGGTAAAAAAATAAAGGACTTTGACATTGGCACCTAGTGCCGGACGGGTTAATCTTCAAACCCCAAGCGCCGGACATTCTAAAACTTTTAGCATCTATCACATATGTAGGCATCTCCACATTCTGGAACGTCTGCACATGCTTCATGAGCCCATTATTGGCATCTGGAGCATTGTATCCAGTCCTCGTCGTGGTCTTCTAAACACACTACACAAGTCGTTTTTTCTATATTTGATACTTCAGTTAACGGCTCCTTTTTGTTGTCGTTATTGCCACGTTTGGTTTGTTTACTCATGGGGAATCTTCATAGCTTCAGCCAAGTCGTAAGCTAACTTCAAAAACTCGTTTTTCATCAGGAGCAGACATCTATTAGACAAATCTCTTATGTGGTCCACTAAAACTTGCTCATACTCGGGTGAGAAGGTTTTTGTGAATCTACCAACTTTTGGTTGCAACGTGACTTCTTTTCCACTGCTCAATGTCGTTATTTTATCATGTAGAGTACTTTTTGGAACATTGTAACGTGACGAAGCTGCCCTCAAACTCATTTTTTTGGACAAAATCTTGTTCATCGCAGTTTTTAAACTTTGCTGATCCCATTTTCCTTTTTTTTTTTCTCTCTTGCATTTTCAAATATCTCTCTCCTTCTATCCTGTAAAACAACAAACAAACATCATTACAATAAGTACAAATGCTTCATAAAAAAGCTAACCTATAAACTGTCCGGTGGTAAGGGACACCTTTGTGTCCGAAAGTAGGGGACAGGAAACGTCCAAAATTACGTATTTCATACTAAAACTGTTTAGGTATTTAATAAAAACTTTCACAATATAATAATTATAGTGAAACACTGTCTTTATTAACAAATAACAAAAACAATTAAGGATAAAACCATATCAGTAATACTTACTTGAAATTTACGTGACGCAACGCTTTCCCACCAAAAACAGCAATTCACCGCTTCCACCACGACTGTGCGTCTCACTGGCAAATCGCGTTGCGTGATCCTGTCTCGCTACGTTCCCCCGCACCCCTTTCACCGATTTATAAATAGATCGCGTTGACGTTTGTCAAAATAGTATGAGTGTCCGGCGCTAGGTGCCGTCCGGCGCTACGGGACTTCCCCCTACACCAAATTTTAAATCAATCGGAGTTTGTAATTTAGTGAGATCCCTTCATCAACTGAAAAATGTGCTGATGGTCTTCACAAATCATAGCTAAACACCATCTCGTCATCGTAATCGGTCCATACGTTGAGGAGCTACGATACCACAGACAAACGTACAAACACGTCAAACTTATAACAGCCAGCTTTTTATGTCGGGGGTTAAAAAAAAAGGTTGTTTCTTTATGGAATACTGTTCTCATCTATATGCAGGGGCACCTCAGTACCAGCTTCTCCCTCTGGACCGCATCCAACGAAGAGCGACTCGAATCGTCGATAGCCCAAACATCGCCGATCGGCTCTGCATTCTCTATCGCATATATTGTGACTCCTGAGTTGCAGACGTTCATGGGCGGCGATGGTCACTTTCCATCAGGTGACCTGTCTGATCGTCTGCCCCCTCTAAGATGATGAGGTGTCTGTCACGATTTTAAGACAAAGCATCGTTTCAGATGATATAAAATGATCTAGCATGTAAAATAAGCGAATATTTTACTAAGTGTCACTCTATTGTCGGAAAGGCAGTATATTCAATATTAAGGCTATAAATACAGCCACATGACATGACAAATAGACGGACGTAGGCGGGGAAATACAATTTACGTGAAACCCTTTCGAGATCAGAGTGACGGACGGATGAAGGTATTATCCTTATTATTTTGGTATCAAGTAACAGGTCTACGATGTGAGAAATATGTGTGTACATTCTAACACATACATACATGCTTGGGTTCGATTCCTATCCAAGACAAGTAATTGTTTGATAAGCACGATCATTTGTTCTGTGTTTGAGT